TAGGCTTTAGTTCTCAGTATCTTGAATGCACTTCATTTTATGCAGCTACCGTTTTGTTTGTCAGTAATACGCCAAGAAAATATATACAATTGCTGAGTCCCCTTCATTTATATCATTTTCTCTATCATATTGTCTGCTAATCAAGCATATGCATAGGCTTGAATTATCTTCATCTTTCTTTCCATTTTGTTATCCCTACTTATCATCATTACTCATCATTCATTTAAGATCTGAATTCGTGTTCAATTCAACATCCTGTTTGATATGCCTATACGAGTTATTTTATGGAAAAAAGTTCCATCATATTTGATGTATTCTATGTATCATACAACTGAACAATATTATTGACTGGATTACTGTTTTTAAAGCAATTTGTTGTCCATAGTCACATCATAGTTCTATTATAGTCATCTTGAAATGACTATGGACAATAAATTGTCAGAAATGTAACCCAGTTGAAAATACTGTACCATTATGTCCAACAAACTGGCTAAAACAGAATTACATTTTTGATATAAGCATAAAACTTGAGCACTATGGTAGGATGTAATTCCATTTTTATCGATTTATTGGATTTACTACACAGTGTAACAGTATTGTTTAATGGATTACCTACGTATTTGACTTCGAAATCGTTGCAAGGGATATGTTAAACCAAGTTATTCTGCTCAATAAGACTGGGAATAGAGTGGCATTTAAACCAAAAAACTCACACGTAAGCTTCGTAAGTTAAAAGATCCTATCGATTCATTCAAGCAGAATAATTTAGTTTATCAAACCCCTTTCAACGACTGTGTGGTTAAGTACATAGGTCAAAGTAGTCGATCAGGGTCATTTAGGCTTTTCAAGCACAAAAACCTAGCTAGCTAAAAATTAGTAGATCTTAGTAATGTATGGAATTAAGAAACACGCTGATCCATAGAGATATATGCTATAACATACAACTACAAAATAGGATGAGAAAAGATGAAAACTAATAGAACAAGGTGGAGGGAGAGATTGATACCTGAATCCTTGTTTATCGAATCAATATTGAATATATGCAACACAAGTGACTCAACACCTGTTGCGGATATTTCGAAAACCTTACTACCTATAGCACAAAGGGAGCGGGGAAATTTGGACTTTATCATATCGAGAATGTCTCAAAGTTATATTATTACCTTGATTTAACTATGGACAATAAATTGTGTCCGAAACGTAATCCAGTAAACAATACTGCCCGGAATAGCTCTCAGAATAAAGCTATTATTATTATTAGTGTTGTTGCTTGTATTACACTGTCGTTGACTGGACGGAATTGATCAGTCTCTCTTGACATATGGGCACCTATGCGGATGCCTTGATATTGCCTGCGTTTTAATTATGTATGGTAATGGTGGACAATGGCTAGCAGTGGAATTTAGGATGCGCATTTCGTCCTATTAGGGACTGGTCAGCTGGATGTACCTGCCTCCCAGTGAGTCATGTTGTCTCTACCAGGACTCGGAGTCGGTGGCTCGGTGGTGTAGTGGGTGACGCTCTCACGTTTGAGGCGATCGCTCCTCATTTCGAGTCCCGGTGGGAACGGTACCACTCACTAGGAGGTAGGTGCGTCCAGCAGACCAGTCCCTAATAGGAAGAAATGCGCATCCTGGATTCCGCTACTAACCACTGACCTTTATTATTATCAAAACTTTCATTTGATTTCCTTACAATCTCGAACTTGGTTTCTGTTTTGAAAAATATGCTGATCATAAACTTGAGAAATGATGATCAGTTCCTCCCAATAACTGTATAGAATGAAAAGCACTTGTTCGAAAGAACAACAGATTTCCTTCTTATTGTCTGGTGAATAAACCTCACTGATTACGGTTTGTGTACAACTTAGAGTAGCATTTCATTACCAGACTTTAAATACAATAAATACTAGAGAACATGAAACTTAAATGGAAGGTCTACTGAAAATTTTAATCCCTTTAAGTGATATATGAAACCTTTAGTTGATTTGATGATCGTTGTGCGATTTCACTGGTCGGATATTATCACTACACTGATTACTTTCCAATGACTAAAAATGTGGTCTGGTTGCTGTCGAAGTATAAATCATGAATAAATTCAATAGACCCTGAATGGATAGAGATTTTATTTTATCGCTAACGAATCATATGATAATGTGCTCTGATGTATTCACCTTCAATTGTACAATCCTACATCGGTCATATTATTCGTATTTATAGACAAAAATGTTATAAAGTTTATTTTCCGAAAAGATCCTTCTATTCTTGTTTTCGATGAGTAATAATGCCGAAAATATCCCAGCAAAAAGTAACGTGTATATTAAATTGTAACAAGTTTTTTTTTAAATCTAATATCTCTGCTCAACTTTTATTATTTGGTATCAATGAAAATGAGAGTAGATAAAAAATATAGGTCAATCCAATCCACTTATTGTTACATCTCTTGTATTCATAGTACAAATTAAATAGATCAAACAATAACAGTAAAAGGCTAGTGAAAAGGTGAACAGTTTCAATACATTCTAACACTTACACTTGTTCGTGTTCATTGAAGTGGTATACATACAAACACACTTAGCGAAAAATGAATACGCGATTGATTGTGATAAATAGAATTCGATTATTATTCTAATTAAACAAACAGATTGAATAAATGAACACTGAGAAGTTCTTTGAATAGCTTTATAAAATATAAAACTACAAAGTTGAAATATTTCAGAAATGTGGTCATTTTAATTATTCTATGGGTCAACTACATAAAGAAAGAATTTTCGTTATTTATCAACCTAACACTAATTAACAATTTTGATAGACTTAAGAAATAGATGGTTAGTATAGTTTAAGTTGAATTACACGTCTTCTATATCTTTGCAATAATGAGTACTTTCAGCACTTCATATTATAATTTATTTGGCTATGGTTAGTAGAGAAATCCATGATGCGCTTCCTGTCCTATTTGGGACTTGTCAGTTGGATGTATCCACACCCCAATGCGGCATGATGTTGTTCGCACTGAGAATCGAACGTCGTACCCATCGCTTCAAACGCCAAAGCGTTACCCACTAGACCACTGAGGTATGACAACCACTTCTTGTACATGGAGCAGTAGTTATAACTATTTGTTAATAATACTAACTATTGGCTTACTTGTTATTCTCCCTTGTTTTTTTGGGTCGAATTGTTCAACCTCCATTGGCATAAGGCTCCTATGCGGATGCGTCGAGTATATCAGTAGTTAGTAATAACTAACACCCGTTGTACAAAAAGTGGCCATCATATCTCCGTGGCATAGTGCGTAACGCCTAGGCGTTTGAAAGCGATGGGCATGAGGTTCGAATCCCAGGGGGAAGAGCATCACTCCGCACTGGGGTACAGGTACATCCAGTCGCCGAGTCCCAAATAGGGCGAGATGCGGGTCCTGGATTCTCCTGCCACTCACAACGAAGCAAATCATCATTTTTGTTAATATGTTTGAAACTCTCTCTTGTTTTACTGGATAGGATTGTTCGACCTCTGTTCACACTTATGGGCTCCTTTGCGGATGCCCCGAGATTGCCTGAATATATATTATCGTCATTTATTTAGTAGTATGCTTAAAAATAGAAAGTCATATTCTACTTCATACCCTTATCACCGAAGTATAATATGATCAAGTTAATTTCTGCTTCAATAATGAAATAGAGAAAAAAAATATATCCCCTTTAGGTAGTTTAGCCCATAAGCAGTACATACAATAGTCTGAGTTTATTGAAGGAATACATATATACTGAATGATGGTTGAAGGTGAAATGAAAAGTAGGACCGCAGCCGGATTCAAACCAGCGACTACCGAGTTTCCGGCCCGATGCTCTACTGACTGAGCTACAAGGTGGAACAAAACCTTTGATGATTGAAGTGAAAGAAAAATCTAGTCAACAGTCGGATCTCGTTGTTCAGTTGGTAGAGCACCGGGCCGGTAACCCAGTGGTTGCCGGTTCCAGTCCGGCCACGGTCCAAATTTTCATCTCACCTTCAATTATCACCCAGTACAAATACTGGCCTACCAAACTACGGTTATTTTCGACAGTCGAATCATGAACAATAAATTGTATCCGAGACGTTACTATTAAATGATACTGTTTTACTTTCTGACTTTCCTAATAAACAGACAAATGGAATTACACATTTCATCCTTTAGTATTACGCAACTTCTACTTTGTTTAAGTTTTGGTCGACATTGTTTATCTAAGTGTTTGCAGTACCACGCTGTTCCACTATTCATATCATCATCGAGATAATAATTATTTCAAGTTGTTATTCAGCGTAGACTGACATCAGTTGGAGGAACAAAGGAAACCTAGAAGCACTGGACATCTGTTTCAGCCTTGTATGGAAATATGGACAACTGAATTCTGACCCAGTGGCTCAATGGTAACGCGCTGGTCGCGGGTTGGATCCCTGGCTCGGTCGTGGGTGCGCACTGCTGAGGAGTCTCATACTAGGACGAAATAGATGTCCAGTGCCCTCAGATTTCCTTTTTTCCTCCAACTGATGTCTCTCTACGCTGAATAACAACTTGAAATATTTCCAAATCTCCACAACTTCCTCAAAATTCAATAATAATTATTACTGTCGAGATATTTACTATTTGCACGCTTCATCCCCTAGTTACTACAAAATAAATAATCCACCATGATTGGTTTAATGTTTTACATCTGGAAAAGTTTATGTATATTAACATACAGCCTGATGAGAACTAATTGAAAACCATACTGTTGGCTTATATGTCTTCTTCTAAGATGTCCAAAAGTAATAACTAATTATCTAAGAAAATATTGTGATTTGTCATATACCCTTTCTAATTACTCCGATAATCCAGTATGCACCACAGAATGACACCACTTAGATGATGAACATATACTATAGTACTAGTGGTCTTATATTTCCAACCTTATTTCCAATTAATTTTTTAAAATCTGATAGAATTAAACAATAATCAGCTTTAACATTTTTCTTTTTAAGCTTTAGATTATCAAACAAAGATAATCCAGGATTAAAATGAATCTTTGTTACAGTCTGTGCATAATTGTCTATCTGATGATTTTTTGTGCTGGTGAAATGGATGAAGAAATTTATCGACCAGATTATGGAGTATATTCTACACTACCACATATATCAGACTATGTGTTATCAGATATTTTGGAAGGAAAGAACAAAATGTCTCCTTATAGTAAGTTTATTTTCTATGCATTGTTGGATCTACCAAATAATGCCTATTTTGTTTCAAAATGAGCTAATAATCTCGCCATTTTATTAATAAAGCAATAAAGACAAGAAATATGCAATATACTCAACTTCATACGGTGAAAGCATGATAAAAAAAACCTTTTTTTAATTCCTTGTTTTGTTGATTCAGTGATAGATTTACCAAAACTGAAACAAGTATTACAAAAATTCTTCACATCATACGTTTACTGCCTAATTAGTATATTGTGTAAAAAGAACACTTGACAGGTTGTTTAGCACCAATTAATACCTTTAGTGAAATACATCAATTTAAAGTTATATAATTCAATAGTTTTCAACAAAAAATAAGTTTTTCTACTGATCTCTGAAACATTAACTAAAAAATCAACTTCATCTGAAAATGTTTTACTACTTTGACTGATACTACTCAATAATAAGTCATTTGTATTAGTAGAGCAAAGAAAAAAAGAGAAAACAGTTGTTTTTCTCATAGTTTTAAATGAGTAGAGAAGTGAAGACAGGAGTGAAACAAGGTTGCCCACTACCCCCCATGATATTCCTGATTGTGGTGGACTGGATTATGCAGCAAACAGTGGGGAGCGAGAAGAGGGGGATACACTGGCTGGACTGCGGAAAAGAACCTAGAAGACTTGGATTTCGCCAACGATGACTTGTGACTGATATCACACAAACTGGAAGATCTACAGGCAAAAACTAACAAGTTGGCAGAAGAGGCAGCGAAGACGGGACTTCAGGTGAATATAGAGAAGACAGAAGTGATGAAGATGCCGCACCAACAACTCCAACAACAACAACAAACTCCAGTCACCATGAACGGGAGAAACTTAAAGGCTGTAACCTCCTTCACCTATCTAGGAAGCACTGTTTCAACTTCAGGTGGCGGCACAAACGAGGATGTCAAAGTCAGAATCGGAAAAGCAAGACAGGCGTTCATTAGCCTTAAACCAGTGTGGAGATCTTCTGCACTCCACTCAGCATGTGAAACAAGAGGCGGAGTTTCAACACCAACACCAACGTCAAATCAGTGCTTCTGTATGGTTCAGAGACTTGGTGCGTTACGGAAGGAATTTCCAATAAACTACAGACATTCATCAACAACTGACTACACTGGCTCGCTACTGAAGATCAGATGGATTGCCAGAAAGAATAAGCAGCAAGGAACTCTGGGAACGAACCAACCAAGAACCTATCAGACAACAAATATGCAGGAGGAGATGGAGATGGATTGGCCATGCACTGAGAAGGCCAACTGAGGACATCACGCGTCAGACCAGGTTGTCAAGTGGAACCCCGATGGGAAGCGACGAGTTGGGTGTCCGAGGTGAGGGTAACATGGAGGAGATGGTGCGAGGAGGAAATGAGAGCTCGTGGGCTGTCGTGGGACCAAGCTCAAAAGATCTCAGAGAACAGAGGTCACTGAAGACGTGCTACTGAAGCCCTATGTTCCATTAGGAACCCAAGGGACTAATAATAATAAATAATGATTGTACAGAAAACAGTGATACAAAAAGATCAGTAGATACAATTCCTATCTACACACTTTGATCAATAGATAATTGGAGAAACATAATTGAAGATAGATAGATAGAAGACAGATAACTGAAGAAAGTGGATATGGATTGAGCATACACTGAGAAAATCACTCGGAGACATCACGCTCCAGGCCTTCGAGTGGAATTCAAAGGGGTAACGACGAGTTGGGTGTCCGAGGCGACGGTGACATGAAGAAGATTATGTAAGGAAGAAATGAAAGCTTGTGGGCAGTCGTGGTGCCAGGTTTTGAAGATTGCAGAGAACAGAGTACAATGGAGGCGTGCTACTTAAGCCCTATGTTCCACTAGGAAAAATAATAAAAATAACAATAATGCTGATGAAAGTCTCTGTCAAAAAATGAAATGGGAGCAGCTACTCTAGTGCCTAGATATTTTGAGCAGTTTAAATCGCCATAAAACCCTTAAATAAAATTACGTGAAATTCGACAGTAATGAAAAATACTGGTCTTTATTCTAGAGAAGTGGTTACGTCATTTTCTTGAATTCTGAGATAAAAGAGCTTATGATTCAGTTAGGTGTTGATGATTAATATTTCCTGATTCAATTAACTTTTCAAAATAGCTTAGAACCTAAATTATGATGATTTGAACAATTATATGTTATTATTATTATACTTTTATAAGAGTTTCATTACTTTTAACCTGTCATAAACTGAGTTTTTAGCCGTTTTGTAGGTAAAATTTTGGAAAAATAATTATGAAACATTCTTTTTGCTGAATAAGTCATTTAACTCTATTCAACGGAGAAAAAGCAATTGAATAATGAGATAGATATATGTAGATAAGACTGAACTAAAACAGGAAATGAAGGTAAAATGATTTGTAAGTTATAAAAATGAAAAAAACTCACTTGAGGACAAGAATTGCTAGAATTGTACAACTATATACATTACAACCAAATTTCACTGGAAGTATTTCATTTTTAAGGAAGACAACAATCAGCTAGAAATGTGTTTAAAGGTATATTAAGCCATAACTCACTACGAAACTGTTTCTGTCACATAAAGAAAGTGAGGATAAATTTTCTTGACAGTTGTATCAAGACATAATGGCTGATTAAGAATATCCTCGTTAAGCCATCTTCTAGATCAGATATTACTTTTCGACCCATCGCTGTAAATTCCCCTTTTCTGAAGACAATGGAGAAATTACTTCTCCTTGTGATTGAGCCTTCATTGATGGCCTTCAGAGATCCAAAACAGTCTGCTTACAAACACCGGAGGAGTACTTTAGATGCAGCCACTGTCTTGCATCATAATATTGTTTCTAGTCTCAATAAAGGTGTTAAGTATGTCCATTGTGTCTTTTTGGATTACTCATCAGCCTTTAACTCTGTTCCTAGACCACTTTTACCATAGCTCACACTGATCCATGGGTTACAAAATGGCTGCATTCTTATTTTTCTGAAAGGAAACAGTACACTGTTCATAAAGGAATGCGCTCGACTTCATTGCTTACTGAAGCTGGTGTGCCTCAAGGTGCTGTACTTTCTCCTTTCCTGTTTTCTTTTTTTTGTGCACGATTTGCCTTATTCTGTTGAAACTAATTTTATCAAGTGTGCTGACGACCTGACGATTTCTATCTCAGTAAAATTAAATGAATTCTCGTCTGAAGTTGCTAGATGGTCTTTCTCAAATGGTCTCAAACTAAACCCCTCTAAATGTCAGACAGTTAATTTTAGCCTCAGACGTAGACAAGACTTATGTGAGCTGCTTAAATCTCATGACGCCTGCTGCATCAATGGTATTTCTGCAGAAAGTGAATCGAGTGCGAACTATGTTGGGTTGCGTTTTACTTCTGACCTTTGTTGGTCATCCCATATTTTACTGACTTGTAAAAAAATCTCTCGTTTAACTTGTTACGTAAAGAAATTGGGGCTTCCTGGTATAACTCAACTGCTTCTTTTACAATTTATTAATTCCTGCATTTTACCTATTCTTCTATATTGCTCCCCATTAATCTTTCCTGGTCTTCTTAAAAAGGACTATGTTATGTTGCATAGGGCTTTGAAGGCCGTCAACAGGGTGAGTGGTGTGTCTCTGGCTCAACTGATTAACACTGTAGTTGATAGACATATAAATTCCTGCAAGCTACTAGCTACAGAAGTTTTAACTGAGAGTGAGCATCCACTTCATTTACAGCTCTCTCCAAGTATCTTCTCAGGGAGGACAAGGAGAAACTACATAAGACTGTATGCTCGTACAGATAAGTATAAGAATTCGACTATACCTTAACTAGTACACATATTTTGTGAGGAAAAATGTGTTAGAACAGAAATCACATATCAACGTTGTGACAGTTAAAAATCTCATTTCAATAATTTAACTTACAATGCATAATTTTCTCGTTTTTAATATTCTTCACATAACTTAAATTTTCATAACAAAACAATTCGAAAGGCTGCAAAGTAGTATGTATATACTTATATTTTGTTGCTATTGCAATATATGTTATGCTGAGAATTACAAATTGTACCACAAATTGTTTAGAATAAAGTGAAGTATTATTATTATTATTATTAAAAGTGTAGAATACAAAGTATGATTTTATTCATGACTCTGTTTCGATTAATCCCTCCAGAAGATGGTGGTTCATATATTTCACAGAATTTCTTTCCTACTTACTAATATGGTGGGTTCCGGAGAAGAAGTTGTACTAGCATACCTTCATCTAAAGAAATGAGCAAACATATTTGTTACTCGTATTTTAACCCAGAAACTATGAATCTCCACACTGTTATCTGGATTTGGGCTACGCATAACCTCTATGGTACCTTGTCCCTTGAAATTTGTCTTACCCTCTTCAATATTTCCTTCTTTTAGCAGTAAATTTCCAACTAATAAATTATTTTGTAAAATATTAACCTCCTTTCTGACTATTTTAGACTCTTTTTTTATCCTTTCAGATGAGCTAATAGGGTTTTGTGTTGCTCTTTGCACTTTGTCAGTGTTTCTCGATTTTTGTGCTTATTTCCTTTACTCAATACATTCTCTTGGTCTTATTGTTTATCCAGGATTTGACCTTTGTCATACCACAGCATGATAAAGACTATACAGTTAGTTTACTGACTCACTGGTGCAAGCTACCGATTTACTCACTCTCTCCTCTTATTTCGGTTAATAACACGAGTGAAAAGTGAATTTTGTTCACAATTTTGAGCTACCAACCTAAAGTGACTATTTCGAACATTGTTAGTCACTCGACAGTAAATTCGATACCATTGTAGTCCTGCTGCATGAAATCAATGAACTATCAATACAGCAACAGTATACAATAGATGATCAAAACCACGTTCAATCTAGTCTATTGCAGTTTAGGCGTGTAAGCTTCTTCCACCTATCATGACAATATAATGTGATAATAAAATTTGTATCCTCCCTATACACCAAACAATAAGATATCACGAATCTCTGGATAGTAGACTGTTCATTGAGTCGTATATTAATGATGGAAAGTGGCTAGCAGTGGAATGCAGGAGGCATTTTTCATGCTATTTGGGATTCATCAGCTGGATTTACCTTCCTCCCAGTGAGTGATGTTTTTCCCACGAGGACTCGTGCTCAGGACCAGTTGCTTCAAACTCCTGAGGGTTATCCATTAGACCACCGAGCCACGATAGCCACTCATTGTGCGATGGGTATAGTTTTAGTGTTGTTGCTTGTATTATCCCATCGTTGACTGAACCGAATCGATCCATCTCCACTGACATATGGGTTTCATTGAAATCATGAAATTTTGGCGGTATAAATGACAGTTATAACACAGTTAACAGTTTATGTTCACTACATTACTCAGATACTAGGCAGAGTTTTAACAGTGAGTATCATATAAACTATACCCATTGCACAAGCAGTGGCTATCGTGACTCGGTGGTCAAGTGGATTATGCTCTGATGTTTGAGGCTATCAACCTCGGGTTCGAGTCCTGGCGGGAGCAACATAGCTCACTGAGACGCAGGTACATCTAGCTGATAACTCCCGACCCAGACTCCACTGCTGCCCACTACCCATCGCTAACATGTATATCCTTGTCACTGCCTATTAGTTTGTTTAGTATTATACTACATTTTTCACCCTTAATGCATCATTCTGTAAAACTTAACTTCAAGTTTTCAAATAATATCAGTCAACTTTACTATGCATTGAGGAAGTGTTTTACCCTAAATACGCACATCTTTCGGTTATCCAGGCCTAGAACTAGATTAAGGCACTTTAAGGTTGAAATACGCATTCATAAAGGAACCAAAGTACGAAACTATTTAATATTTGATCACATTGAACAAAGGTAAACACAGTTTAAATGTAAAATGTATAAATAAAAAATCAGTTGAAATACTAATAATCTTTAGTCTAAATCTAGATTATAAAGAAGTTGATATGAAATTATGAAATCATGAAAAACAAAGAGAAATATAATTTAATAATACTTTAGGAAAGTGTACTGATCCGTATTCCATTTTCACAGTAAGTATTCTTATTTCTAGATTTCAGAACATTTCATCAGTCTTTGATTTTCATAAGCAAACTATTTCTTGATCAGTAAGCGTCAATAAGAAATCACCTGAACACCAACTTCACTTTAGACTAAAATGACACGCATATTATTACCATACATCTTTAATAAAATATTACACAATAATCTATCTGAGAAATTATTTAGTTTTTATCCTTTTATCTTTATTACCATTGTTGTAATTAACTGTAAAACGTTCTTGTTATTCAAATGCTTAACTTAAAACCAATGAGGTAATGTTGGTTAGTTTTGAGTGCATAAATAATTAGAATAAAGACTGAAAAAAGCATCCACGAAGCAAAATGTTAATTTAGTTATATTTCTTATTCATTTTTGTACCTAATAGTTTAGTTAAAGTACGCAGAACATTTGATCATTAGACCTTACTATAGTACACATAGATAAATAGTGACTTATTGATAAAAACAATGTAGATCTTCATACATAAGTACATCGGCTCAAGTTGCCACAATTTACAATGGTATACAAACAACAGGTGGATAGAAAAGAGTGATAACAACAAAGGGCACAATTCTATCTGAGAGAATAAACAATCTGAAGATAACGGTCAGTGCAAACATTGAAAGTTAGGAAGACATCAAATGGTAACCGATTTCCAGTCATGTGGCCAGCAGCTAACAGCCACTGATTGCTGATTGTCTGGGAGATCCCAAACAGGCAGTCAACATCACCTCATATGATACAGAAAGACATTAAGGGGCTTCCTTGGATGGTGCCACGACTTGGTCTAGACACCATGAACCTTTGTCCAACCTAATCCAACTTCCGGTAGTGTGACACGTCAAGGTAGGTGGTGGTAGCTTAGCATACGCAGTACATGCCCAAGGCAGCCATCTCAGTCGACTAAGTTTCACAAACTCATCAGTCGACGTGCCGACCTGTCTTGCCTACTAGCTTTCGTCTGACCTTAACACTGTTCACACGGTGATTCCATGAAAATGCGAGCACTGCTACGAAGACACCTGTAATCAAAGCCTTGTAACTACTTCATATCTTCTACTTTTAACCGCCATGTCTCACAGCTCTACAACAGGTAAAATGGACTGAAGCTAAGTGTACTCAGCCTTTGATAGATAGTGATGTATCTCGCCAGCCGACGTGAGCTGGCATATAGTAAACAGGCCTTCTGCATGCGAGTTGATACAACTTGCCAAGTAAGTGGGGTGGTCACGACATTTCACCACTTCACTGCCTATCAATAAACCAAAAGTGGTTGCGGATCAGTCTTGGATCATCATCTTACTTTTGGCAGGTGCGTAATCCAGGCCAATCGTATTCAACTTTCTGCTCAGTGCATTCAGGAGACCACGCATTGCGTCAGTATCTTCACCTTGTAGGACAATGTGGTATGTATACTCCAAGTGAACCAGATGGCTTCCGGGAAATGGATGAATTACTGTGAAGCCAGGCGCACACAGGGTTATGCCAGTTAGTGCGTGTATAACGATGTTAAATGGAAATGGTGACAGTCGGCATCTCTGGCGAACAGGATGTGACTTTTATCCTGTCTGGAACTCGTCAGCTGGATGTACCTGCTTCCCAGTAAATGATGTCGTTCTCACCGGGAATCCCAAATAGGTCGAAACGCGCGTCGTGGATTCTACTGCTAGCCAGTATCCATAACTAATATAATTAGAAAAACAGGAGATATCGAGGCTTCCGTGTAGGAGCCTATGTGCCAAAATAGACCGATCAATTCAATCCAAACAACAGGAGGGTAATACAAAAAACAACCTCATATGATAAAAGCCTTAAAAACAGATGACAGCGAGTTTCCATCACACTGTTGAGTTTTATGTCAAATTCTGAGAAGCATCATGTCAGGTTTTTGTCGGTAGCAATTGATTTCTCAGTGTGAAACGTCAACTTTAATTGTTTATATTCTATAAACGTCTTTGACTTCTTCATATATAAACACATACCGGCAATACAATTTATTCTAACGCTATGAAATCGTTAAATTCTTTTCAGCATAGACTTCACAATGTTTTTTTTTATAAGAACAAGATCTCTTCACAAGAATCATCCAATTTTATATGACTACTAATGGCCGAATAATAAAAGTATGAAAACTCTTTAGCATACTGATTGTATTTTCCTTTGCTCATTATTCATTCAAAATTATCCTTTGAATTGTTACACATTTTAGGTGAAAAGTACAAATGGCCTATAGTTGACTTGGACAACTTTGATAAGAATAAAGTGTTTTATGTTCATCGTAGACGATTCACTCGTCCATATGGTCGTTGATTGATAAATATCAAGAAGCCAGAATGAATATTCTTTCCACTTGCTTTTTTTTATATATATCACAGATGAATCTACAATGAATTCTTGTTAAAACTTTATTAAACTAATCTGAATTTGATGCATCAAAATTATTCAATAAACTGTTATCTGTGCATTCAAAACCTTACTGTTGTATTTAAGCTGATCAAAACTTGCCTAATTAAATATGAATAAATATGTGTTTAATTTCTCATGTCACTGAGAAGTTTTGTTGTTTAACATTGAACAAATATATCGAAAATAATTAAGTAAAAGAATTATGAAAGTCATCCTAGGTTGCCATCAGACTATGAGAGAATTCGCGCTTCAAACAACTGAAGATTCTGATTACATTGATAAAAGGCAACAAACTGAACAAAGAATATTCTTTTTAATAAGTTCTGTTCAAGTTATAGGATTATAAAATCCATTTGTATAGTGTGAAGTCAAGCCAAGTTAGGGGCACTGACATTTTCAAAATACAGTGAAATTTAAGGACTAAAGAAATTGATTTGCTGTTTTTCAGTTGGTCACTATTGGGATGATATATATACAGATGAATGATACGTTAGTGAAAGAAAAGATAACGAATTAAGAAGATAGGAGACGCTCTTAGTTTACTGAGAGTCAAGGAAGAAGTATCGCTTGGACATCTTCTGAATGCTGAGTTCAGGCTTAATCAGTCTTATTGCGATAACCCCCACTATGTTGAGCAGGCGTTGGCCAACTACATGTGATGTCACTTTTGGAATAACCTTCTGTCTTTTCGAACCAAGCTGATAAGTGCTCTCGTACCCAAAGACGCACATGCCTAATGGTATACACAGAAGAGAATTAAAAATGCTCTGAATTCAAAATTACGACAAAACGGGCTGGCTAGCTTCAGGAAATACAAATCACGTGCCGATCAAATTGAAACACTACGCACCATCATCATAGAACAGAGTATAGAACGGCAGTCAACCCTCCACATTACTTCAACTTCATAGATTTTGAAAAGGTCTTCGACAGCGTCGACCGAGAAGAAATTTGGCAAGCAGCTGCTTCAACACTACCGTTCCAGTTTCACAAACACTTATCAACCTCACTCAAGAGCTACATGATGGTACATGCCAAGTGATTCAGAATGGAAAGCTCAGTGACGCCTTTAAAACGAAGACAGGAGTAAGATAAGGCTGCTGCCTACTATCACCGATGATCTTGATTGTGGTCGACTGCATTGGACTGGAATGGACTGAACTGGACTGAAGCGGACCGGACCGTACTGAACTGGATCATGCAACAAACTATGAGGAGCAGTGAGAAGAGGGGCATACACCGACTGGACCGATGAAAAGACCTCAGAAGAAGATCTGGATTTCACCCCCACCGCCACCGCCACCGCCGCCAATGATGAGGATTTATGTCCAATATCTTGTCGCACAAAATCGAAGATCTACAGGCGAAAACCAACAAGTTGGCAGAAGAGGTGAGGCAGCGAAGGAAGACGGGACTTCAAGTGAATGTAGAGAAGACGGAGGTGATGAAGATACCCAAACAACAGCAACAACACCAACAACATGCACCAATCACCATCAACGTGAGAAATCTGATGTAAGTTGTCTCTTTTACCCACCTAGGCAAGGCAGCATCGTCTTAACTACAGGCGGTGGTGGCACAGATGAGGATGTCGAAGCAGTATTGCACTGCACTCAGTATAAAGCGTGAACAAGATCGGGATTTTCAACACTAATTCAGTCAGTACTTGTATGTGATGGTTGAGAGACTTGGCGTGTTACGCAAAGTATATCCAACAAACTACGGACATTCATCAAGCCAAATGAGAAATGATCGGTTGGGCGTTGGAGAGGAAGGTGACGTGGGGTAGATGGTATGAGTGAGAAATGAAAGGTTATGGTGAGTGATGGAGCCATGTTGTTAAGGCTGCAGAGAAAAGAGTGAAATGTTAACGTGTTACTGAAACTCAATGTTCCATTAGGAATCCAAGGGACAAACAATAACAATGATAATAGTAATAATGTAGCTGGTTCAACAGGAAAAGTTAAACTGATATACGCGAGATGAGGTTCTAAGATTAGGTAGACTATCCTTTAGTCTCCGATTGTGCGCTAGTGGACTACCGAATGATATACAAATAGGATCTTCATAAGACATCCAACTGACTGCTATAGCTGGGCGTTGTAAATGAATGCCATTTGCAGCATAGCCCTTGAATTTTAAGCGCAGAAATAAAGGCTTCTTCTCTACTGTCATTATTTCTTGTTCCTTTTCCAGACACTCCTTGAAATAAATCGATCTCACTGTAAATGCCAGGAACCTGATTATATTACGTTTGTACTTCATCGGTACAAAGCTGAGAAAGTGCGTATACTGTACCTTAGACGTTGGCTTTCTATATGTACTTCTCAGTGTAGAGTCACCTTATTTTCTTGCCTTTAGTGCATCAAGAAAAAGCATCAAACCACCAATTTCATCTTCGTATGTAAAATGAATTGATTGGTGGACGCTTTTGAAATGGTTCAGAAGGGAATTAATACATACGTATCTATCTAAGACTAAAAAGGTATAATTCGTGTATCGACAGTACAACTCCATATTAGCTATTTAATCTTTCCAATGACCATTTTCTCCTTTTGCCAAAAATATGTCTGCAAATATAGGGCCAACGTCCAATTTCGTTTCCGATAATTGTTCATAAACACAATCCCTAACTTGGCTTGATTTCAAGCTTTACAAATGCATTTTATAACTGTAGAATCTGAAGGGAATTTGCATTTATTCATATTCTCAAAATTTGAATCTTAAAAACTCAATTTTAAAGTAATCAAATCGTGGTTCTATGTGCATTTATTACGTTCCTCAAGATCATGGATCATAATTTTTAACATCTGAAAACGCTACATTCTTGTAGGACTACTGAGTAGGTCAGTAAAATTCGAAGTATGATAATTAATGACTGGTTCATAATAAGCATTACTTTTCTAATAACTTACACAGTAAGCCTTCTAAAACTCTTAAACGTCTATACAACAGTGTAATTTAAGCATCCCCTCCCTATATGTATATGTCATTTAAATCGAAAAAGAAACACTTTATAGTATGAATTAAAATATGTTAATTCAATGTTTAATTTATTTTTATTCGTTACATTTTATTTTAATGAAGGGGGAAAAAACATTCAATTAAATGATGATGATGATGATAACGGTTTTCTAATTGTTGCCTATTTTGATCCCGAACAGTTGCTGGTGCATTTACAGCTGCCATTGCTGCAGTTGCAGTTTGATCCACATTTGCATCCACTTTCACAACAATCTGAAGAATAATATTAACAAAATAAATTATCTAATGTATAAAAAGGTTATTTAATTAAGTCTATACATTAATTTAGAGCCTCATAAACTCAGAATGATTGTTTGTCTCAGTTATCAGCAATTCATCTCCTTGTGATATCACTTTACTAAACTACTTAAATAATGGTTACGTAACATAAAGACATACTTAACTGATTAGTTTATTTGAACGTTTATAAATCTACTCATAATTAATAATATTATGAATAATTTGGTTGATTGTGGCTAGCAGAAGAATCCTCCGTGGAACAGTAGAAAACGCCTTGGCATTTGAAGCTATGGATAAGCGGTTCAAGTCTCAGTGGGAACAACAACACTCATCACTGGTGTGAAGGTATATCCAGCTGACAAGTCCTAAATAGGATGAAACGTGCGTGCTCGATTCTTCTGCTAGTCACAACCAATCAGATTATCAGAATTAACATTCAGGCAATATCGAGGCATCCACATACGAGCCCATATGCCAATAGACGTAGAACAATTCGATCCAACAAAACAACAGAGAATAAGAAGTATATCAATAAATACTATGAATAAATGGAAACAATAAGAAATGTATTCTGGGAATAAATGATAGATAAACATTTAAAAGATTGTAAGGAAGCGATATGTTATTATCATATAATACGTGCACTTACCAGACATTCTATGAGTTAATTATGCCTAGAATGTAGCCCTAAGTACAACGAAATTAAAAATGTATTTATATATTATTTCTTTATAATTTCACATAAGTTTAATTCATTTTCACATATTTATGTGAAAATATAATATTTTAATCAATATTCTTTTGATTAAAAGAGTATTATGTGTACGTGTGCGTTAAATAATTCACTTAAAATTTGAAATTCCATACTTATCTGAGTTACATTGTTTTATATTAGAGATGAAAGATAAATCTTTGTTAAATTCTTGAAAAATATACTGATATTAGCTCACTTGATATGTTATCATCCTAGTTCAAAGTCTTTTTGTAAATATTTTCTTGAAATGTCTAATTAGATGAAACATAGATTCAATACATTTGTCTGAAGGAACTATTGTTAAAATTCACTGAAAACAATTTAAGATGATCTGTTTCAGTATTACAGCATAACAAATTCTCGAGAAGGAAGTAATTTGTTTTCTTGAATGATAAAACATGACAGTCTTTTGTGATCGATCTACCAAGGATAGCAATTATTATATTATTTTCCACTTGGGTTCCTAGTGGAACATAGGGCTTCAGTAGCACGTCTTCAGTGCACTCTCCTTCTCTTCAGTCTTTTGAACCTCACTCCACTACTGCCCGAAAGCTTTCATTTCTTCCTCACATGATCTCCTCCATGTCACCCTCGCCTCGGGCGCCCAACTAGTAGTTTGCCCTGTAGATTCCACTCGAGGACATAGCCTGGGACGTAATGTCTGCAAGTGGTCTTCTCAGTGTGTGCCCAACCCATCTCCACTCTCTTCTTCTACATATTTGTTGGATGATGGATTCTTGGTTGGTTCATTACCAAAGTTTCTTGTTGCTTATTCTTTCTGGCAACCCATCTGATCTTCAGCATCAAGTGAGCATAACTGTAGTTTTTTGGAAGTGCTTTTCATGACACGCTAAGTTTCTGAGCCATATAGCATCACTGACTTGACATTGGTGTTGAAAATCCGAATCTTGTTCTTTGTGGTGAGTGAAGTATATCTCCACAGTGATTTCAAATTAATGAAAGCCTGTCTTGCTTTTCGGATCATGGTTTTGACTTCCTCGTCTATGCCACCTGTAGTTGAAACGAAAGATAACAATACAGAAATAAAACTGAGAAATACAGTTAGTTGGTGATTCTGATGAATTATAGAAATAAATTACTGAAATGAGGTAAATTTTGTTTCGCTGAAACACCCAACAGTGATTAGCTTTAATTTGACTTTCAGAAAATGTTTCCTACAATTATTCTCGATAATTATTTAGTTTTTAACTTATCAGTAACGCTTTTATGAGTAATTTGCATACATCTTACACATCGCAAGTGTACCATAATCTTCAATAGAACTGAAAAAGTATCATTTTGTCTTGC